ACATTTCGGTCGTTGGCATTTTTCGTATATTAAATCCATTATTTTATTACAGTTGGAAAATAGTGGACAAATTGAAATTTTGTATTCAATAAACAGATGCACCGACTGACTAATCATTTCAATTTTTGATATATTGAAAAAAATAAATGGTGTAGCAGAATAATTTAAAGAGAGTTTGATTTAGCTTATAAATATTAAATATTTGAATTTGTAAAAAGCGTATACTAATTAACCTTCCAATTGGCAATAAAAGAGTTCTCAACATAAAAATTTCAGTTATATCCTTTTAAAAAATCCTTTCATTGTTGTTTAAAATCTTTTATAATAAAATAGTTATTAAGGTTTATTTAATGAAGATCAGCTTATTCTGTCATCGCCATTGCATATCGTCGCACGCACACTAGTTAGCATGTTAAGAAAATGGCGGCCACACACGCACACTTGCACACACAAAGTGCAATCTGCTGCCAACCGCAATATGAACTTTTTGCTTTCCCTCTGCTTTTGCTTTTGCTTCAAGTAATGGAAAAAGCGAAAAGAAATCCAGCCCGCTGCGTTGGGAACTCGAACCGTCGACATCTGGCGTTGGCGTTTCAAGTTGAAAATTTGCAAACAAGCCGAAAGACTCGCACAAATTATATTACATTAAGTTGTGGTGCTCGAAAGAAGATTATAAAAAATAATGAAAATTACATGTGAAATAAATTTTAATACTCTTATTTATATTCTTTTTTTTATACAAAATAAAAACCATTTAAATACATCTATTTATATTCTATTTTTTATGTGAAATAAAAACCAAATACATACTCTGATTTATATTCTTTTTTATTGTAGAAACGAAATAGGTAAAGTTTTAATAAATTTTAAAATTATCTTTCTACCTTTTTTCTAAGCTTGCCAAAAAAATTGACAGTCATAAATTAATTTAAATAAAGTTTTCTTTTTCCCCACACATTATTCCCTACTTTTTTTGCCCTAATAACTTTTGCACATTGTGGATGCAGCATCAATTTTCCATGCTCCCCTGCAGCGAGCGGCAACCTTTGCGCGAAAGTACTTTTACCCCGGGACAAGGTCAGTGAGGGAAATCGCACAACTTTTTTTTTTCGCCGTCGCAGGACATAAAAAAGTGAAATTTAAGCCACACACGCAGAGCAGAAGGCAGAAGACAGACGACAGTTTTGCGCCAAGGCCAAAGGACTCGGGATTCGAGTGTGTGAGTGTGTGCCACATGCACTCACACCCACACACCTACACTCACACTGTTAAGTCAGCTGCCGCCATTTTGTAGCCATTTTATCATGGCAAACAAAAGCGGCTTACAACCTCCCGTTGTCCTTCTGTTGTCTCCTGTTATTTTCATTCTTTTTTCCGCTTATTTCGTCTTGAAGTTGATGAATTTTACTCACGCTCCACGACCGTCTACAAAGTTTGAAAGCCCGAAAACCCGAGAATGCGTCACTTGATTAGCCGCACGGCAATTAGGCAAATTGCCCAGGCTGCATTTTAAACTCCCACATGCTTATCGACTTTGCCTTTGATTAGGCAACATCAGCCCCCCTCGGAAAGGTGGCTCTCAGGCGTAATTACATTAACAATTCCAAAAACATTCCCCCACCCCAAAAAGTCGTCGGCCAATGTCACTCACTGCTGGGCATTCAATGTGGCACGAAACGTATCCATTATTCAGGACGTGGTGCAAACAACTCGACCGACAAGCCAACATTGCCCTCCTGCGTGTAAGACGCAGTGCCTCCTAGTGTCCTGGCAGTGTCCTCCCAGTGCACCGCACACCACCCACCGCCCACCATTCTCCACCCACATTCCATGGCATACGCACAGCATATTTGGCTTGTGAACTTGCCTACTAACCTTGTGTGCATGTGCCATGCAATTGGCCCCAGGATAACCCAGCAATAATAACAACAACGGCAACATCGTCAACAACTACAACTACAACTGCAAGGATGTGCAAACATGGCGAGGTCCTTTCGGCTGCAATGGAATCGGTGGGTTGAGTACGTTGTATGGGGTGCTGGCTAGTGGAGTTGGCCTGTAATTAAAGTTCCCCCAGTTGGCACTCTCGATAACCGAATGGCGGCAGGTACAGTCGCGGCAAAAGCAAGGCATCTGAGATAATTAGTTTAAGGTATTATAAGAAATTAGAAAGGAAACTGAAATTAGAAATCATTATACCATTTAAGTTTTAAGTTAAGTTTTTCGTATACTTTTAAGAACGTATTACTTTTCTTACATTACCTTGATTATCCCTTTAGAAATCTGAAAAGCTTAGCTTTCGTTTCCATAGAAATCGAGAGCGTATATTCCGCTTTACAAACCTTTTTTCGACGACAATTTCACATCTCATCCGAACGTGAAATGCAATTGCATTTTCCGTTCCCTTTGACAGAGAACACAAGCCCAAGAGGCAGGCGAAAAAAAAAGAGGAGACCAAAGGACCGAAAGATATTGTTCACCAAAGTTATCGTTGGCTGCGCATCGCTAACAAAGTACAGTGGCGGCGGCGTGACCAATGACAGCCATGTTTCCTGCATCAGGAGTTGCACAAAGTTGTCGCTCAGATGCATTCCATGCCCCAAACCCATCCACATCCACGTCCACATCCCTTCGAGCCACACACAATTCTGGCCACGTTTCCTCGTTCTATTTCTTTTGCCCAGCTGCCGAGGCTCATTGGCTTTTGAGTAACACACGGCGAAAAATTGTGTCTTTTTTTTTAAATTTACACTTTAAAGACCAAATAAATAGCTTATTATATTTTACAATAAATTTTAAATACAGAAGTGAGAATGGGGGATGTCAAAAAATATTAATATATCGAAATAATCAATAATTTAACGATAAATTCGATAATATTTAATATTTAAAGATTTGATAGTTGATAAGATATACTTGTCGATATATCATATCAGACTTTTTCCCTCGATATATAACTTATCTACCGTTTCTCTCTGTGCACGACTTTGTGTGCGGGGGTTTTTGTTTGGTGGCCGCCTGCGGCTGGCAAAACGACAAAATGTATGCTATGTTCCGGCTGAATTGCAGATTTTCATCCTCCGGCACCCAATCCTCTCCCACGCACACAAACACAGTCACACACACTCACGCTGAGTCGCTTATTCCCTGCGCCTTTATGTGCAAAAAAGGGGGAAATGGGAATCCCCTTTTCTCGTAGATTTAACTTTGTTTGGGGGGTCGAGGGGCTTCGCGCGGAACAGTGTTTTGCCATTTGGTCGCATATTGCTAATGGAAAGGAGACGCCGTCTCACCTTCATACCTCATACACCTGGCTGCGGGGATTATCCGAGCTGTTTCCCGACATACTTTCGGGATCATATCTAAATTGAAAAAGTTATCGGTGCCGTGTGTCAAATGTGTCGCCGTCGCCGTTGCCTTTTATTTACATTTTATTTTCATGACAAACGTGAGTCGTGAGGATAATCGATTCAAATCGATGCTGCGCCAGCCGAAAATCCGAAATCCGCTCACAATACGCCCGACATTTCGCTGACAGCCGGCTGTCCGGCAGGCAATAAACAAAAATAATGTGGGCCCGCTTCCAGGCTTCCGGGCTACATAAATTATAACATTAAAGACACCCACCGAAAGGCATAAAAATCTTATTTATTCGCCGGAAATCGCTGCGTCGGACCTCCCTGATAATTCCCAGCCATAAATTAGGTAAACAAAAGTTCGGGGGCTCGATAACCGGCGTTTGCTGTGAAATTAAAACCTGTCTCCCAAAAACCACCCATTAATGACTCTTCAATCTCAAACTTGGACCCGAATCGGTCCCCGGACGTAGCTCATTACGTATTGATGCCCTCTCATGTGAAATAATTGCCGTAGTTGTACATTAGCATTTAATAATTCATGGCTGGGTGTCCATCGACACGGAGATCTGTGTATTTGTGTAGTTGTGAGCCAACAAAAGTCAAAGCTGTGTTGGCGTTGAGGCTATTAAGCTCAGGCAATCAGGCACAATGTGTAAACCCAATTGGCTTCACGGTATGTGATGTTCGATATGCATGTGATGTTCTCGATATGCCTATCATCGCCATGATAATTCAGAGGAACTAATCGCTTGCAGTTGATTGATAAGCGTAGCCAGTTGATTTGTAATCTCCCGAACACAATGCAAATACACAAATTGAGTTACTAGCTACTTGGGATTGGGAAATCGAATTATTTTGCATTATCCGAAAAACAAAAGTCACATGAAAATACATTAATCCATTTCCTGTTCTTATATGTATTATAATCACCACAATGAAAAAATTATAATTAATCGATGTTTTCGATATTTTTACAAACCTATCCGATAACATTGATATTTTTAAGCTCTAATTTAACATAAAAATCAAAACACTTTTCCACACATTTTTCATGCTTTTAAAATTCCATTTTATTTTTCTGAATAAACTTTAATTTACAATATTCTTTATTAATTGGTTTTATTACTATCATAAATTTCTTTAATCAACTTTTCACACATACCAGTTATAGTTAGCTAATATTTTTTGTTTTCTCAAAAAGCATTTAAAGCCAATACTTTTCATGCCTAAATTAAAATACATTTCACAGGAACCAAAAATTGCCAATACACATTAAAATATATATCCTTTGTGTTTTGTAAATTTGTAAATAAATTAAAATATATATGAAAGCTTGTTTATACACTAAATAAATGAGAAGAATATTAAGCGTACTACAAATTAGATGATTTAATGTAGGTTTAATGCTTTTAAACTGATCACAGCAAATTGTTTTGAATACCCAAGAAAGAAAAACGGAGCAAAGTATATGTGATACCAATTTTAAACACTAAAATTCTTGTTTTTTTCGCCTTGTAAATTTTTTCTAAACATTTTAGTTTTCGGTTTTAGTTGTCTTTTTTTTTCAATGTATTTACAGAGAGGTTTTGTTTGAAATATTTTGCTAAAAAGTAATCCAACTTGGTGCTAAAAACTTTACTCTCAAGATAATAACTGTTTTTTATTAATTCATTGGTAACAAAAAATATATGTATATTATAGCTAGTCACAATAATTGTTAGGTCTATAAACAGTTTCAGTTTAGCTATTATCTCTACTTCTTTTCGATTTCACAAAATGTTTCTTTTGGTACCAAAAACTTCAACGAAATGTCTTAACTTTTTACAATTGATTTCATGGACGTGAAAGGAAAGTTGGACTTCTGGCTCTGAATCCTGGCTCGTTCCTTCTCTGAGTTCTTCTGGGCTTGTGTGTGTGCGTGAGTGTGGGGCGGTTGTAGGTGTTTGTGTGGGTGGAAGGATATGCGTTGATGTGTGTGTTTGTGTGGGTGCGACGTTAGTTGATGTCAAAACGTTGCGCCTAGAAAAGTTTTGCGTTGTTATTAGTTTATGGGCGTGTCAGTGTGTGTGTGTGTTTGGGCATGTGTTAGTGTTACATTTAAATTAAATTTTTAAACTAGGCAACAAATTGAATTTGTTGAGTATTTTCATTTTCCCCATGCTGATGTCGTTCTTGTCTTTTTTTCTATTTTCTTTTTGGCATTCTTCTTTTCTTACTGCTAAATGAAAGTTTCATATTCTTAGCATTTCTCACACTGAACTTTCACTTCTTTAGTTGAGTTTTTGGGGCCTTGGTCCAAAAAGGAATTACTAGTAGGAGATGCTTTATATATAGGTCTTCCCGGTCTGCCCACCAGTATTTGCTGGATATGCATTTAAGTGGATCCTAGACACATTCGGTGCCCGGTTCAAAGAGGGGATTGACGGACTAAAAATAGAGAGTATTTTGTTAGTTTAAAGTCGAGGATTTAGGAGAAAGTGTAAGTAATCTTAAAAAAATAACTTAGCCAAAGAAAAAAAACTTAAAATAATAAATAATTAACTAATTATTTTGAAAAAAAAACTACAAACAAATTTTAAAATTTGAAAATATATCAGAAAAAATAAATCCAAGCTAATTTTTATTTTCTCTTAAATTATAATTGAACCACTCATCAAAATATGAGTGCTTTCAGTTTGCTTTAAAACCAATTTTTGTTGGTAAAAATATTTTGCAAAATGATAATCACCACTAAATAGTAATAAAAAAGAGATTTGGCCGCAGCATTCTACCAACGGGGATATTTAATTATAAACCTTAATGAAAACAGCCAACCGCTAAGCTTGTGGCCTGGATTTTCAGCAAACCGAATTGGTTGCTTATATGCAAATTATGATGTTATTTATTGGTTGGTTGCCAGGCAAACAGAAAATCTCTCTTAATGCCATTTTGTTTAATTTTGCGTAATTATTGTTATGCATTGTTGTCGGCTTCCGCTTGGATTTGTCTTATTTTTAATGTTTTAATTAATTAACCGCTTTAATTAAAATTGGCAGCGAAGCAGCTGCAAAAAGTGTCAAGTTAAATTCGAAAAAAACAGCTAATTTAATTGAAATATTTTACTAAAATGTCCTGGAAACAACACTCTTCGCTTTATGTTTTAGTTGGGCAGCTGCCGTCGGGCTGTGGGACATTTTGACGCTCCACTGACGCCATTTAATTGGCCTTTTAGTTAATTGGCCAATTGATATGCATATTTTGATTGCATTCGCAGCTCTGCAATTAGCGAGACTCACGCATTTCAAAGGGGGGACACGCAAAATGCTCAAATCGACGGTAAATTAAATTAAATTAAAGTGCAATAAAATGATAATTAAATTGTGCACATAAACGAGACAACAATTATGTAATATAATACGCCAATAATGTTCTAATTTGGGCTTTTGTAAAAACAACTTACCGTTTTTAATATCTAAATTGGCACCGTGATTTCGTTTCGTTTCGCTCGCGGCATTTAAATTGTAAAATAGTTGGAGAAACGAACTCGATTAAAAGGGGGATTCAAAACCTAAGAACTCGCTACGTTCACAACAACATTTCAGGACTTATAGAACTAATCTTAGAGCCTAGATAGGTACAATCTATGATACGAGCACTTAGTTATCTATGTACAACATTAACATTAATGCTAGTAAACCCAGTAAAACCCCCTCTAGAACCTCACATAACTAAAGTCGTTAGGATTGGTGGCCATCGGTGGGGCCGAAGATCCGCCTACGCTTACCTCCTCCTCCATGGCAGTGGCATACATATGCGGCGTCACGTTCTTCTCCAGACTGAAGTGATCCTCCGTGGTCTTGTGGTAGACGGGATTCTCAAAGTTCATCGAGTTGACGGCCCGCGTGCATCGTCGGTAGAAGACAAAGATCACCTGTTTTATAAAAGTTATTGTATATTATATATTATAATATTTTTTAATTATTTTTGAACTTACGCCTGCCACTACAGCTGTGCCCGTTAGACAGGCTATCACAATCATAGCTATTAGGCCGTAATCCTTCTCTGGTTTCTTGGCAGACTTATCGACCTTGTCATCTGTGGATGTTGTATTACCACCGGTTTTTTCTTCAACTGTTGAAAAAAAATAAAATAAAAAATTTAGAAAATTAAAAAATACATGATGCCTACAGACAACCACATAGACATTATAGCATTATTAATATTTGATGAAGAATAAACTTATTCCCAAAACCATTTTAGTGTTAGATGATGTAATTACTCAGCCCATTACTCAACCCATGACCTATCTTGCATTGGGCACACGTCGATTTTTCTATGTGTTTTAAATTCACTTTCAATGCAGTTTTGGACACCCGTGCTACAAAGTACATTTTTAAAATTTAATCAAAATCATTGCCACCATTTCAGACAAAAACCCCCTGTGAAACTTTCATAAATTCCAATATCAAAGGCAGGCTCGCAAAATATTAATAACAAATGCCTCCCCGTGCGCTGTCTTCAGCTTTTTCACGATTTTCCCATAATTTCATAATTCCTATGGCCAAATATAATTAAAATGTTGTCTTTCTGGGAGCTTGGCAATGGGAAAAAAGAAGTCAACTCGACGGCAACGGCGACGACGACTACATCCCGTGGCGAATATTTCCGCTTTTGGGGTTTCCCTGCTTTTGCTTTTATTCGCTGCCTTTTGCTGTTGTCCTGGCAGGAAGTTGTAGGATTTTTCCGCTGTCATCATAATTCGCTTTCATATTTTTCCGTTTAGAATTTGTTCAACAGCAGAAAAAAGCGCACAAAGTTAAGAGCAGCGGGAGAAAAGCGCGCGTTCGTCTGGCAAAGGATATACGTATATAAATCCCACTCCCATTTCCAAATTTATACCCACTCCCACTGTTCTTGGTATTAATTTTTGCCCTACGACTGTCCAAAAACGGAGGCTCAAGAGCATGTGGCAGGAATTATCATTAAAAGTTGATAGCGGCAACAGATGTGCGGCATCGATTTCGGCGTAGGCGCGTTAAGATGCTGCAAATTTATTTTGGCGGCATTAACAGACAGTCAAATGGCGGAGCAAACATTTGAAAAGTTGCACGTTTCGCTGGCATATTAATTGCTCGATTTTCTGTTGGCTTTAGGTGTGTGGTTGCTTATCGCCGGAAAACAGCAGCTGATGCTTAGGATTTTGTTTAAACTTTTTTTTTATGTCTTTAAGCTTGGTTTACATTTATTTTTATGAGATTTTTACAATGAAAAGCGATTCTTTATCAAATTAATAAATATTCCTAATTTTATCTACCTTAAATATTTAAACAATATCCAAATATAAAATTTATAGTTAGTTGCCAAAATTTAATCAAGCTTTTTTTTGAGCCAACTAACATTTCTGAACTCTGAACTCTCGTATTCCCTAACTGCTTTGACCCCATTTCAAAAAGATTAATTTATTTCTCTATCAAAAGTGCTTCACAAAATTTGCATTTGTGTACGTACCACTTCTCTTCTGGTTTTATGTTTGCCTATAAATGTCATATATTATTGCGCACTTCTAATCTATACAAAATGCAATTTCCGTGCTTCCAACACACACACACACACATTCAGACATACAACAGAGAGTTATGCCTCATCGCCCATTTGTATAATCCTGCACATGTGCTCTCATATTTATTTCGAAGCTCCAACTCAGGATAACGCATAGCAGGTGCTCAGGACCCCCCGGAACCCCTCGATCCCAAGCCCCCCATCCACCGGAAGTGCCATAAAAAGTACGACAAAATGGCTGCCGTGCCACAAATTTCCTTCCCAAATGAAATAAAAACGCATAAAATATGTTCCGTCACCTGTTTTTGGCTACCAAGAGAGAAAGGGAAAGAGACGAAGGATGTAAACAGATTAGATAAACCGAAAAAAAAGTTTCAAAGTTTTAGGAAAAAAACGAGAAAGTCAAAAATGGTTTTGTCATGAAAATAAACAAAATGGCGGCTTTGCTGCCATGTTTCTAGTATTTTCTGGTATTTTTCTTCACTTCGGGGGCAATATGCAGTAAAGTTTGAGACGGACAATAACAATTGCCGGACGACTGACAGAAGTGCAGGCAAATGAAAGTCATAAAATGCTGCAAGGAGCACTCGCAGCATCTGTTCACCCAGTTTTCCCCGCCTTTTCCTCGCTTTTCCCTTGATTTTCCCCACCCTGTGGCTCCCCATTTTATGTGGCCGGCTATTAAAAACGCAGTCGTTACTTCGACGGCTCAAAGTTTATGGTCAGTCAGGAGGGGGTTCTGTCCATCTGGATTGCGACCCCGCCATTTCGCTGCCCTTCTCTGTGTCTCTGTCTCTCTGTTTCTCTGGGGTATTTGCGAAACTTTGCCTGCGCTTAATTAAGCAATTTGAAGTGGGCAAAGATGGCCATAGAAAAAGTGGCACAAACCGCTAATTGAAATTGCAGTTATGCTGGGCTGGACCATCTAATTGAAATAGTCGCCCTAACTAGTTTATAGTTATTTACTGACCCGCGCCATCTGCAAACTTGGTCCTCGGCCTCCCCCTGAGTTTGCTTAAGCCCTCGCAAATGTGTTGCAGCTCTTTCTTTTGGTCCTCGACCTTCAACCCCCTCTTCCCACCACTATGACTTCTTTAAATTGGCGTAATTAGGCGCAATTGTGTGGGCTTCTCTCGCTAAGCTAAGCTGCTCCTTTAGGAAACTTGATTTCACCTCGTAGGCATGACAACGGTTTAAAGCTCCCGGAAGTTCACCCACTTTTCACTTCTAAGCCGGCAGGACAACGAAAGAGGATAACGACTGGCAATGGCTGAGATTTAAAAGGAAATCTTAGAGAATAAGGGATTTATTTTATATTATCTGTGTGGGTTGCTAATTTGTTTCTCTAATTGCATATAGTCAAGTGTTTTCCTGGGATTTTAAGATAATAATATCTTAAATGTTTTTACAATAAAGTATCTTCCGTAGTTTTAAGTGATATTATTATTTAAAATAATAAATAATTTTCTTTCGTTAAAAATTTAAATGTCTTCCGTATTTTAAAGTAATATTATTATTTTAAATAACAAATTAAAAAAAGTAAAAAACAAAGATTTTTTCTTCTCGTTAAAATTTGAAGTGTCCTTATTATGATGCCCAAGGAACCGAAGAAAATACCCTTTATTGGCTTGATTTATTCTCCGAAAAAAGCCGTCACAATTTCGGTTGCCACAGCAAAAAATATCTTTCTTGTCTTTTTTAATATTCAAGGACTGTTCAATTTCGCATTCCCATTGATCAAAGTGCGTCTGCTAAATGTGGGTTTATTAAAAATAATGATACGGCATTTAGACGAGAGGCTGGTTCCCCAGAAATTCTTTTTAAAAACGGCACAACATGCAACAGACAGAAAAGCACAAAAACACAGAGAAATGGGCTTTGTGGTCCGACATATTTTTAGGGATAAACCGCCGGCTGGTTGGTTGTAATTCACTTTTGCCACACGACCCACGCAAATATTTCACCCCCCCGAAATGTCGACAGTTCGAGGTGTTGACAGTGCCAATTTGCTGGGAGGATCACGATGACGATGGTACTGGGGCGATGACGAATTTCTGGTTAAACTATTTGCCATGCTCCATATCACTGGCACTACGCATGTGTTGCGGATGGTCGTGTTTCTGTTTCAGTTGCTTATGTACAATTTAATTTCATGGCGATTTGTTGACGACTGCCGCTGAAATGTCCCTGCTGCTCCCCGCTGCCGCCTCCTCCTCTGCGGTTGTCAGTCGTTCATCATTCCGTTAGGTTCCCTTACCATCATCACATCCGAATCCATGTCACTCTGTCAGGGAGCAGTTCGCAAATTGCACGGAGAAATTCGCTCTGGGTTCGGTTCAAAGCTCCATAGTTCCAGTTCCCACACAGAAAAAAAACGATATGAAATATGGTAATTTCTACGTTATTTCATTTCGATATGATTATTGTCAAATTTATGATTCAAACATATCAACTTGATATCGTATCATATCAGTTATTCCATAAAAGTTATAAAAATACTATTTTAAAAGTAGTATTTAGTATTTTTTGAACAAATATTGTAAAACAAGATCACTATAATCTTTATTCATATCAAAATGATAGGAATAACTTGATCTTTTAAATTTAGTTAATTAACCTGTACATATTAATCTGATCTTTTAAGAATTTTTTTTCTGTGCAGAGCTTCGAACCCGAATAAGTGCTGGATATAAGTCGGTCGGGGATCCGGTGGATTGGGAATCAGTGGGCGAGTGGGCGGTGGCCCTGTCCTGTTGCCATTAAACATGTCACCAATGCTTCCCTTTTGCGGTTTTTCCCCACTGTGTGTGTGAGCCCCATATTTATGTTTTACGCTCCGCATTTTGCATGAGTATTTCGGGGCTAAAGTTCGCAAGTGTGTGTGCATTTTGAGTGATTACGTCGATATCATTGATGTTGATTTATGATGATGACGATGGCTCCGGTCTACGTACATATATCCGTAAATGTCCGTAAATGTTGCTCGAGAAATTGTCGCGAAAAATATGTCAAATGAAATTAAAACACCGGGAAAAGCAGGTGAAAATGTTGTTTACAATGACATAAACACACAGCAGTCAGGGGAACTTAAACAAAACCAACACCAGACGATAAACATGAAAATCAGGCTTGATTTTCGATACTATCTTATAGCTAGGGTTCGTAAAATCATCTTATTTTTAATAAAATATATTAAAATTTCGTTGAAAGTGGCAATTTCTTTTAGTTTTATAAATAAAATATCTCAAGGAAAACGGATATTATAATTTTGATACTCATAATTAATTTTTTTTCCAGTTAATTTTTTTGCTTAGAGAAATTTCACGAACCCCTTTCTTAAACCCTAGACAACCACCACCATTATAAATTTCGTAGAAAAGTGTCGCATACCCGGCGCTTCACTGTGCGCATCTTGAGGTAGTTTTGTGGTTGCAATGGACGACTGGTCGGTTGTCCGGTGGATCGGTGCAGTGGGAAGCACTTTTGGAATACGCACTACAAAGGGCAGAGGGTAAATTGATAGATATAATGAGATCCGAAAAGGTGAAAATGCAATTCAATGAAATGCGCAGAGCAGGAGGCCACTTAAGAGGCCGCCGCCGCCGCAACCGCAACAGGAAAGCCGCTCTGTGCGAGTATCGCCACGCTTCGGCTTTCAGCCGGATGAACCGCAAAACGCAGCCATCGGTTCAAATGCAATTACGAAATCCCCCTGATAAATTCCCCCAAAGAACATGGACACGTGGACACATGCACACACAACGAAATCTACTTACGATCTTCGACGCACATGAGGCCGTCGGGCATCAGTTTCAGGCCCGTCGGACAGGCGCAGGATATGCGAGGACTCCGCTCGTTAATCCTGGGAGCTGGCAGGCAGAGGTGCGAGCAGTGGCCATTCACCGACTGGCAGTGGTTGACACCGTCTGGCTGGCGATACGGGTGGTAAACGTGCACCACCATCGGATGTTCCAACTGTGAAAGGTGGAAAGCGTGTCAATTAGTAGAGGATTAAACTGCTCTCTAAAAGTATATGTATTTAAAGTAGCTAGAAATACTTATTGCTTGGCTTTATCAATTTATCAATTACTCATAGACATACATCAAATTATAATTTAAATGGTATTGTTAATATACGATTCTTGGCGAACTTTCAATATTAGAATTTTTGATTTATTAAAAAATAAAATAAACTTTACTAAGTTCGCTTGAATGTCTACTTACTTATGAGTTCCAAAAGATACATTTTTTTTTAAATTTATTTTTATTTTTAATTTATGGAAAATATATTTTTTCCTTGGTTTTTCCAACATTCGATTTGTAATGATGGTCGAACCCATTACTCATAAGTTCTCAAAGATAAATGTATTTATTTCTTACAAATTCATTGAATAATTCTAAGAAATGTGTGTGGCGCAGATAGTAAAGGGAAATGGCATGTTACTTTAAATTCCTTTTATTCCGATAAAAAAAACCCACACATTGTACAAGTGGGGGCTTGGTACCAGATATATAAGAGATATTTAAATACATTCAAAGTCACAGAGAATTTATCACAACTCGGTGGGAAATGTAATGAAATAATACAAAATATAAATAAGTAATTTTTATCTTGTTCATTTCAACTGAAGGAATTTCATCACATTTCAAAATTTAATTTAAGAGAAATTAATATAAATGATATACACTCACCATATGCGTCGCTGTGACGGGCTCCACATCCTGTCCGTTGAACTTGTTGGCCTTGAAGACGGCCTGCTTGTCCCAGTCGGTCCAGTAGACCCAATCCTCGAAGGTGGTGATGGAGAAGGGATGCTTCAGGTACTCAGAGGAGTAGAGCACCTGTCTTCTCTGCGAACCATCGTAGTTGGCCGACGAGATGGAGTTCAGCTTGCCGTCCACCCAGTATAGTTTTTTCTGCACCAGATCCAAGGTGATGCCATTGGGCCACTTGACATCGTAGGTAATGATGGCCGTTCGATGGGATCCGTCCATTCCCGCCCTTTCGATGCGAGGGGAGGCTCCCCAGTCGGACCAGTACATCCACCCGTCGATGGGATCCAGGGCAATGGAGCGCGGAATGTCCAGCGCATCCTTAACCAGAACCTTTCCCATGCTACCCTCGAAGTTGGTCAGCTCGATGGTGCACTTCTCGGTGTCCGTGTAGTAGACATGGTTGTAGATCCAGTCCACAGCCAGGCCATCGGAGGTCACCGAGGATTTTGTGAGGACCACAGTCTTTTCGCTTCCCTCATCGATGGGCGCCTTGTAGATGCTCTTCGTGGACACATCGCTCCAGAAGATCATGCCGGTTCGGAAAACAAAGTCCAAGGCCGTCGAGGCCTTTGTACTATTCACTATGGAGGTCATTTCAGGCCTATCGAGTGCTATTTTCCGTATATCATGACGACGGGCTAGAAGCAGCGAAGCATGTCCTTCGCTGGCCTTGCACCTGGTGTGATTCTTCAGCAACCTCATATATCCCGCCTCGCATTCGCACTTGAAGGCCCCGATCTCATTGACGCACACCTGCGAGCAAATGCCCGGCGTTTCGCACTCATCGATGTCCACACAGGTGCGCTGATTTTCGGCTAGCCTATAACCATCGTGGCAGACGCACTTGTAGCCCACCTCCAGATCCTCGCACTGGTGCATGCAACCTCCATTGTTGGTGGCACACTCGTTGATGTCACACTTCCCAGCGGGCTCGTCCTCGCCATTCGGACAGTCCTTCTTGCGATTGCAGACCTTCTCCAGCGCAATGCACTGACCACCGCCGCAATCGAATTCACTGGTCGCATTGCATTCCCTGGGAGTCGCATTAATGCTGCAGTTCTTCTCATCACTGCCATCCGAGCAATCCCTATCGCCATTGCAGGTCAAATGGCCTGCGATGCAGCTGCGATCGTCGCACTGGAACTGATCCGGCCGACAGGATACGCTGGGGCAGTTCGCCGGCGATTCGTCCTCGCCATCGGGACAATCGGCCTCGCCATCGCAGACCCACGTCCTGTGCAGGCAGGTGATGTGATCCGAGCACTGGAACTCGGAGGCCTCGCAAAAACGGATGTTTATCCTAGTGCAATTTTGCTGGGGAGCACAGAAAAAAAATTAACAAGAGATCAGTTTGATATGTGCTGGTCAATTTAATATTCTTTTAAGCATATCATTTTGATATGAATAAAGATTAAAAAAGAAGAAGAAAGATGAAAAATACTATATTTGGTATTTTATATGATATGATAAAATATCAAGTTGATATGAAATGAGGTAAAATTCACAATGTTTCATATCGAATTTTGTTTTCTGTGAGAGAGCTAAGTAAAATATCTTAATATACTTGGCAAAAAAACTAAATATTCGTCCTTTAACAGACATTCCCGCTGAAAGATGAATCTGTGCGCGTGGCGAGGATAAAGGAAGTTAACTTTACTTTACTGCTGCTACAACAGTTTGCTTTTCTTGTTAAGTGCCAACCAAATATTCAGGCAGCTAAGCCCGGTTCACAAACACACTCACACTCTCACACACTCGCGTACACGCAGGTCCTTATGCACCAGCACGTGCACACACACATAGCATATATATATACAGTATAGGTCCCTGTGGCCATTGCCTGCATTTTTTGTGTTGCATACTTTTCGAAGATGCCAGAAAGCATTTTCTACATTTTATACGCTTTTTTAAAAGGGGTATTTGCGACTGATAAAAGTGATTTAATTATAAAAATTTAATACTAGAAATTTAAAAAAAAAAAAATAATTTAAATAAATTAGGCTTTATTTTTAAGTAGCTCAAATTAGCTAGTAGGTACTCTCAATATAATTTAAATATTCCACTTTGTAAGATATCCAAATTTAAAAAAAAAATGTAAAAGATTTTTTAAAAAAATCCCCCAAAGAGCATTAAAGTTACCATACTTTACGACTAGTTTTCTCTACTGTTTTTATTGCCATTCGGTGGCATGCAATTTCGGGCAGCATCCTACTGACAACAAAAGCCATGCGTCATACATATAAATGTTTATGGGAAACAGTTGCCGACATGGTCCTCGTCGTCGTCGTCGCTGCCAGTTTTGAATAATGCTCGCGTCTTGCATAATTTATGCTTCCTAGCTCGCTTTATATAAATACATATTTATATGCGAGGGCTGTTAAACAACTTACTGTGCGTGTGTGGGTGTGTAATAGATGTGTGTGGTTTGATAATGTGCTCATATCAATTTTCATTGCAGGTGGAAAGGTAAGGGAAATGATTTTCCCAACTTTTATGCAGAGAAAACAAATATTTTTCTATAATTTTTTTATGAAAGATATACCTTTTCCCATTTGAATTTAATATTTTGAATATAATATTGTAGTGAACTCACCATCTCATCCTCTCCATTGTAGCAGTCGTGGTCCCCATCGCAGAGCCATTCACTGGGAATGCAGGTGCCACTGGAACACTGAAACGTATCGGGGGCACATTTCGGTTTATCCCCGCAGTTCTTTTCATCCGATCCGTCGCCACAATCATCGTCCTGGTCGCACTTGAATCGATTCTGGATGCAACGACCATTGCCGCAGGTGAACTCATCCGAGCGACACGTCCTATCTGCACAGAGTTCAATCCAATGATTAGCTTGATTCTTGAAAGGGTTTTGGGTGTGATTTCGGATGGAATGAAAGGAGAAAAGCCAACACCATAACAAAAATAGCCAACAAACAAACAAAAGCGTATAGAAAATGGGTGGTATGGGTTTAGGGATGTGAAAGTGACAACAACAGAAACTTAAGTGTTCCCCCTGTGGTTCGTAAATATTTGTACTGTATTGCATAATAGTTTTAGCATAGCATCTCAGAGAACTGAGTGTGCATGGCACATTCAAGTGCAGGGGGAGTAGTTCACTAAAGCATTCGGGTATAAATAGCAGCCAACACCAAGTAAAAGCAAGGAAAAATCAAAGATAAATTCGGTTGCTATTATTGCAACCAGAACCAAGCACCAAAAAGCAAAGCGGGAAATATTCATGGTCATGGCTTACTGCACTGGGCCTCATCGCTGCCATCGCGACAATCCTTGGTCTGATCGCACATCCAGGACAAGGGAATGCACTCGCCCTCGCCCGACTTGCAGGCGAACTGCTCGGGCGAACAGGTTTGGGTCCCTAAAAGAGATTAGATCAAGAAGTGTTTCGATTTTTAGTGCCAATGTTCTGAAATAGAGATGTATCGAGAAGAAAAACTTTGGAAAGCCTTTCTTTCAGTTTTCTAAAAGTATTTATATTTAATTTCTTAATTTTAAAAAATGTTTTCCGGTTAGATACTAAAATATTTCCATATTGTTTTCCTACATTTTTATTTAAACTGTTTTATATTTTTTAAAAAGAAATATTTTTCGTTTAAAAACAAATACTTTCTTTCCGTTTAAAAACAGAAATCATATTTTATTTCTAAGGCTTAAAATATTTTTTCTGTTTAAATATTAAAATGTTTTAAAAATCTTTTCTAAGATTTTAATTTTTTTATTTGCTAATACAACAAATTTACGACAAAAAACCGTCAAAACTTTAAGGTTATAACTTATAACCATAAAGGGTGAGGAAAAAGCCCACTAACTGCCTGGCTAATGGGATTTTGTCCCTTGCTGAGATAGGAAACGCGCCTTAAAGTAGGCAACGCAGGGCCTGTCCTGTCCTGTAATTAAGTTTATAAGCAGCTGCCATATAAAGGGGGGCGTGGTGGCAACCGTTCTCCAAGTGATAAACATAGTTGTCATGCCGACACAGCCACACACACAGTCACAACCATTCGGGGGCTAAACAGTTGGCATTTTATCTAGGCAGTAATTAAGACATTATCAGCCAACACTCCATAAAGTTAAAACGCACACATGCGTATGCATTAAAGCAATTATCGCACACACACTCACAGAGTCGCATTCACACCCGCACTCACACTCACACACTTGCAGACTGGAAGTTCCATTGAAGTTATCCCTGCCAAAGGAGCGGACATTAAACAAAGCTGACAACACTCCCACACAGGCACACATTAAAACGCTTGTGTTTAACCCTTAATGCGTATTAGTATGCCAGTTCTTCGTGCCTCGCTTTCGTGCTTTCTTTCGCGCTCTCTCTCTCTCTTCCTCTTTTATTGCATACCACAAGGTCCTTTGTTCCACGCTCTATGTGTGTGTTTGTGTGATTTTCGCTGATATGATTATGTACATACATTCATCCCCGCTGTTACTGTGTGTGTGTGTTAGCAATAAAATCTTATGGCTGAGCCACACATTTGAATATGCTTTTTGGCGTTTTGTCTACCTCTTCCTACATTCCCTTCCTCCCTTACACCCCTCCTTGCTTCCTTCCTTTCTTTCCTGTCTATTTGTTTACCGTTTACACGTGCACAGCGTACGGCGGAAATTTCTGACATCGTTGCAAATAAATTAATTTATTATTATTCTCTTCTTGGTATTTTTCGCCATTTTTCGGCGGTTGCTTAGCATGTACAACGCGTCGTATGCGTGATATGCCTTTAATTGGAATTTACTGTGACCAGCTTACTGAATTTATTCGTCGTTCGCTTGCTGATTATTTACTGAAATTGTCAGGATTCCTTTGAAAGTATTTCAAAAATTTAGTTAAATTTTTGCGTATATAAATTGCTTTCAATAAATATATATTTTCTTTTCGCTTCTATTAATTTTACAAGAAGTATCTTATTACTTGTAAAAAAATCTTAGAATTTTTGTTTTGTTATGATATACATATATACTCATTTATTTATTAGGTTTTATAATAGCCTAAGCTTGCTGTTAATAAACTCATTGAATTAAATATGAATGAAGTCCCCAAGCTACTAATTAAATATAATTGCTTTAAGAATGAAATGCAATACGAAAATAATGTTTTTCAAGTAATTATGCATCCTAGCTTTCTCTTGAATTTGCTCATAATAAAATGGTAGCTCGAACATTAAAATCATTTTCATTTTCGCATCCAGTTGAAACTACTTTTCGATTATTTCGCTTCTCCCTGATATGCCCCTGATATATATTCAATTATCCAATATCATTTTGCCAACCATAATTTATGGCTTCATTAAATTCTCCATCGTTGGTGAGGAGAAAAACATTCACCAGGGGGCTTTCGTATATATAAAATCGTATGTATAAAACTTTCCATTTATATCCATTCGAAGGTAACTACTTGGCAGAATGGACGTTTCATTTTCAGTCTCGTGTGTCCATGGGGACTCAGATTCAGACTCAGCTTCCTTCTTCGGCTTTTGTGAGTCCTGGCAGAATCAATTTGCTGTCGTGGGGTCACAGTCAATGGACCAGTAAGGAAGGTCCTTCCACACATCCGCGCACAAACCTTAAGCATTGTATTCAATAGCATTTTCTTGTTATCTGACGCCAAACCCCATATACTTGCAATTTGATTTTAATTTTATTTAAAATGCTTTTTAGACCATGTACAAGGCATGTCCATGGCCAAGTGCAGCGACCACGCCCCCCTCCGCCTCCAGCCCGCCCTCAGCACTTGAAAGCCAATGAAGCTTAATGCCTTTGTGGGGCAGTTTGCGTTTTGTTTATTGTTCACTACTCCCCCCTCACTACTCCTTTGTGTTGCAAAAGGAAGCCCCGAGTTTTCCCCCATAATGGTAAACAAAGATATGAAGAGTCCGAGTGGAGTGTTAAATGGAATTAAATAACCGGGGCGGCGACCACACAACTGAATATAGCAGTTTTAAAGGCAGTAATCCTTTTGCAGCGAGCTGCTGAACTTTTGCGTCGCCGAAAACCAAGTTAAATTAAGACTCACAGGGGTAACTGGGTAAAAGCAGAAATGTCAACAAGGTTTGATGACAATTTTAAAGCACATAAAAGTCATAAAAAGACACACGCATATTTCCTTTCACATGAGCAGACGTAGCTTTATGCACACACAACATACAGCAGTCGTCAATTTAATAATATTTAAGACGAAGAAACTACAAGAAAATATTCTGACAATTTTTATAAATTGTTTAATTCCTTTGAAATTTTTTAAAATTTTTTTTAAAAGCTATAAATTGATTTATTGATTTTATTAATTTAAAGTTTCACTATTTTTTTGACCACCACTGTAGGTCCTGGCATCCTGGTAGTCGACCACTCAGCCACGAGTCCCAGCGTATAAACCACAGGCTCAATTTGGCGCTGCGTTCGCTTTTTGATTACCGGTTTTTATTTTCATCAAGGATAACATCATAAAAATCGCATCATTTTTTCAATTACAACGCTGAAATTCCGTCCGACATAAAAACATTTTCGTTACCCTCCTTCGCCAGTCTTTCTCCTCTCTTTTATATATATCTACGCCGTATAGTTGGGAAATTGTGTGTCACAGACAATAAACCACTAAACAAGTTACTGTTCAAGAAAAAATTCCGAGAAATAAAGTGGAAAGCGGAAACTACGCCAGGAAAAAGGGAGCTTCAACTGAAGCTTCAGCCTAATGCATAAATACAAATTAGTTCCGCCGATGGTCACGTCGCGATATTGTCCGCAAGGAGTGACATTAATTTATGGCCCGGTCATAAAGTCCTCTTTTGAGATCTCTGGGCCCAGCAGATCCAGCAGACCAGAGGTCTTTCATGGGGCATGCATTTAAATTTCGATTAAGTGACTCCGCTTTTTTGGCTCGTTTTTGGTGATGGACACAAATCCTCCTCGGTAAGTATGCAAATGTGAGAAGGAATAATTCATTCTTTTCGCTTACTGGCACATTCCGATTCGTCGGATCCGTCGCGACAGTCCTCATCGCCGTCACAGAGGAATTCCCGGTGTACACACTGCTCACCATTTTTACACATCGCCATCGTGGGGGAGCATTTACCCCCTGGATATTTTGTTAAATTATTAAAGTTTAAACAAAAGTACTCTTAAAATTTCAAGCTGATTTTACAAATATTATTGTTAAATTAATTTAAATTTTGGAATTATCCTCCTAAATAATTCAAAATTTTAAATTAAAAAAAAATCCTAAAAATCAAAAATTCAAATGTCTTAATAATATTGATATATATGTCTTTTCTTAATATTTTTCCTTTTTTTTTATTTTTGTACTTTTAGAATTTTTCTGTTTTTTGTAAAAAGGTATTCTTAGTTCGAAAAAAAATCTTAAGTAAAATTACTCTGTAGTAAATCTATAAAATTTTTGTTGTAATTCCAGTACCATTTAAAAGCGATTTGCTAGCATTTCAATTACTTTCTCAATCGCATTTAGCCGATACCTACTGTTTAAATCAAAGATAATGGCTGACACTTACGACAGTGGGACGCAGCCTCGTCGCTTCCATCGGCGCAGTCGTTCTCCCGATCGCAGAGCCATCTTTGCGGAATGCACTTTCCGGTGCCACAGCGGAATTGCTCCTGGCTGCAAGTCGATTCTGCAAGGGTAAATGTTTGAAATCAATTTTACATAACTGCTAAAGATAATGGCTTCGATAGAATATTCACATTCCCTTTCCCATTCCCATAAATATATATATGCATTGCACACACAGCATGGCTTTCAAACTTTTAATGCTCGAATGGTTAAGTGTGTCAAAAATAAATGTGATTTTTATGTTCCTGCGGCTTCCGCTTTAGTCTTTGTTTTATGCTTTAGTGCAAATAGTTTTTCTCTCATTTTCTGCTTATTTTATTTTATGACTTTTGCTCTCGACCCAATGGACCACAAAGTGTCTTTAAAGGGCTGCCGCACTAATTCGGAATATTTAATAGAAGGAAAACAATTTGTTTGGCTGACTGAGTGATGGCAATGCAATTAAAAGATAAAAGGAATTCTTGATAGCTTTAGGTTTGGCTTGTTAAACAATTGACAGCAGAATTATGTGAAAAAGCCACCGTTGAGAAAACCTATTTATTGGCTGGCAGCCACAAAGTGGCAATATTGAAAGGCAGTAAAATGGGAATACCGCTTTAAATATTTAATTTATATAAATGGCATTTAAATAAACGGGGTAAAATAGGAAAACTATTTTATTTCAATAAATATTCAGAGATCTTAAAAATTAGCTTAAGTAATAATAGCAGGTATTTTACAGTAATTTTTGTAAAAGAAAATTTTGAAATCGTACCATTCATTAAAAGTTCTGAGCAAATAATGCATTTCCGCTAGATGGCGCCACTTTCAAGCGATTGCTTGCTATGCTGCTTGCATTTCTCTATCCCTCTCACAACCTTTCAGCTGTGTTTATTATATAGACATAAAAAATACACATTTAATATCAATTCTCCTGCATTTTTTCCCTTGCACTTTTCTCAAGCCTGAAACATTTTCCCCAAAGTGTTTCCTAAACGTTGCACCTTTTGTAAGCTCTGCTACAAGAGTGCAGACAATTTGGCGCTTAATTCAAACGAATTCCTTTGAATGACATCTGCATTCGGTTTGACATGACTTTAAGAGGGGATTCTTGGCTGCTCCGCTGGGTGAAGTTTTCCAACCCACCAGGCCATAAACTTAAGCGCAACTTTTGTGGCACTACCGAAACTCCGGCAAACTGTAGGTAACCCCAAGCAGCGAGCACCAAACCCCAAATCCCAAAACCATACCCAAAGTGGAAGTCAAAACCCGGGGGACTCAGACATACAGCCGCCGCAGTGCGAAAAATGCGCATCACGTTCTGCGTTTCGGAGTTTGGAGACCCGGGAAGTCGGAAAATGGGAAAATGGAATGGCGAAAACGTTCCGGGGCGTATTTACCTAGACAGCGGCATTTAGCGCCCCAAAAAAGAACATTAAAAAGGGCTGAGAAGCGGGGAAGATTAGTTTCCCGTGGTCTCTAGTCTGCTTTCGGTTTGATTTAGACTGTGCTTAATGAGCAAAAACACATCAGCGAGACGCGAAGGGAAATGGTTAAAATATTTATAATCAAATTGTGGAGCTGGTAGTGAAAATTCTTGGCAGGTAGTTTTTAGCAAAAATATATAAATGATTTATTTGTCGAACCATAAATAGTCTGTCATCACCAGAAAATTACACACAAAATTAAGGACATTATCCTGGGCTAACGCACCAACAGACATTCTTCACAAGCAATTTGTTTTACTTTAATACACGGCAAGAAAAAGTTATGTTCAGTATAAGATGATGGTAATCAATAAAATAGTACTATAGAAAAATTAAATTTATTTTTTGTGGTTTTATTATGCAAATCCAAATAGTTGAATCGAATATAAATCATACTGGAAATAAATTGAATTTTTATGCCGCTTTTTTGGCCACAAATACTATGCTGTTGATCTTTGCAGGTCCTTCTTCTCCCGATTCTCCCTTTTCTTCTCTTCCAGGACAACAGTCCCCAAGCTCATTTACAGGCCGAAAGCTTAGTGATGGTAAAAGTTGCCTTGTACTCGGAAAGTGTCCAAGGGAAATGGTAAGGGAAAAGTTTCTGCGGTCATTCATCGATTTGGCGCATTAAAAGTTTTCTGATATTTGCCGTTTTCCAATATCCTTTCTACTACTTCTAGTACTTCCCCTTCTTATTTTGTAAAATTAATGCAGGGATTAAGTCGGCTTAAGTTGTAACAACTTAAATATTTTTCAAATCTAATATTCACTTTTATGGAAAAAAAGAAAAATACTTTTATTTATTCCTGAATTTTTTTTGGGCGGAATGGTAAGAAGTCCTAATGAAGTTTGTCTGTCTGGCGGAGCATAAATTGAATTGTCCGATTCATTTAAAAGGCGGAAAGGAAAAAACGGGAAATGGGAAAGTGAATTTCCCCGCCACCTGACCCTTATCTCTTTCCGCCTGTCTCGTCTCAATAAATAAATGAAACATTTGTGCCACAGTTAAGGGGATTTTTTTTTTTTTTTCCACTGTTTACAATTGTTTTCCCCCGCCGGTCTTTTTTTTATTTATTTATTTTGCTGCCTTTGTTTAGAGAAGTATCTGCTTCCGTTCACAGCGGGTTGTGTCGTAAAAAAAGGCTCGCCGCTCGTTGTTTATGGCACCTTTTTCCACTTTATTGAAGTTGTACTCCGCCTCAAGTATTTCAATAAAAAAACGAGCAGCCAAATGGGGCAGCCAAGGGTTTGTTTTTTTGGGCCTGTGGTACATGATACAATGTCGGGCATCATAAATCATTCGGCCAAGAGTCGCCGTCCTAATGAGGCAAAGTTTTATGTTTCATATGGCCTATAGCAACTGTTGCTGTATAAGAATATATTTTGGAGAGTGCAACAAATGGCCCTGCAATCGCGCTTTAAATGTTTGCCAATTTATATGTTAAATAAACTTGTTTCGCGCAGAGACGCAAACAAATTGATTTGCGGAAGGAAAAGAGAGGAGCGAACTGAAAAATACGAAAAGTAATTCCCATTTCTGTGAATTCCTGGCCAACTTAGGATCCGGCCAATTCGATGGATTGCTGCGCTTAAAAATGTGCGGAATACATAATTTATGGGGCTGTCGGGAAAGGAAGGACACGGATTGGGTAGCCGAGGATGTGTGATGTGTGTGTTTGTGCGACTGAAGTTATCTTAGGCCCGCAGTTGGCGCCCAGAATCCTGCATATATATATTTACACAGAAGAAAAAATTTACGAAAGATTGATATATGCTGGTCAATATTTTTAAGATCATTTTATATATCATTTTGATATGAATAAAGTTTAAAAAATACTGAATTTGGTATTTTATATGATATGATAAAATATCGAGTTAATACGAAATAAGGTAGAGTTGACCCTACTTCATATCGAATATTTTTTCTGTGTATCTGTAGGGGACTCAGCTCCTTTTTAGATTTTTCACAAGCTCCTCGGGTGGGTGGCAGTCGGGCTTATCAGCTGTCTGCCTTTTCCAAATGCGCTGCATGAATATTTATGCGCTCGATATCGAGCACTAGCATACCCATGACCAAACCAATATGTATGGCATCCGCACACCACATGATGTAAAAAAAAGAAAAAAACTGCTTAAAAGTCGGCAAGCGTCTTTGCTGCTGTCTTTTGTCCTTTTTGTCTCACTGGCTGTTTACGCGGCGTATGGGTAATGCGCTGTATATGGGGACAACGCGGCGTATGAGCAACGCGGATGAGTATGAGGGCACTTGACGCTACTCTAATGTCTTGGATCAGCCTCTGTTGTTAATGGCCGTCGTCTTCTTTAGTTTAGTTGCCTATAAGTTATTTATTTATTTACTGGCTCTTCTTAGAAACATTTATTTTTCTTTTTTGTCATCTCCGTGGAATTGTAATCGATTTTCGCCTCCACATCCCGTGCCACGCCCTTGCATAAAAGATAACACCCACTCGTACAGACAATAACAGTAAATTGAAATTCACTTGAAGCGGTTAATGGGCCCGGGCTTTGTTATCGAAAAACTTTGACCAAGCCTTCCCATTCCCACTCCCTTGGATATTGGATATTATGGCAGCCTCATGGGGAAGTTACATTATTAAGATAATCGACGGCCGACATTTACTTTGCAATAATACCCGGAATGATAGCAGCTTTTAAATGTGCCAGGCTTTATCGTTGTTTTTTAAAAATTGTCCTTGAACTTGCTAAAAACTTTAAATCGTGTTATTATGTGGGAAAATTTTTTCCAATTAATCAAATAAAAATTTGAATTTTTATCAATTTGAAATATATTTTTATTATAAAATATTTTTAAGCTAACTTTTTAGCCATGTTCTTGAAAATTAATGAACATTTGTATTTTTATTTTAAGGTATAGTTTTATCAAATTGTAATTTTAATTTAAGCTAAGCTAAGCTAAGAACCGTTTCGTAATAGCTGTAAACAAAAATCAGATTTAAGCAGATTTTCCCATCTTAATCTGATAATCTGCTTCGCGGGAATTATCATCCCACAATCATAACCGATTCCCCCCAAACATACCCGATGATACCCGATACAAGGCAGCCTGATGGGGCACTAATCCGGTGATGAGCAGCAGCAGGGAGCAGCTCAGGATGCTGCGTATTGGTCCCATGTTGGTTCTTCGGAGGCTCTACTGTACACTAGGCGGCAGTGTGATAATGTTCTTGCCTAAGTGCTGCGCTGAATTATTAAATTAAATGGCTGTTTATTCGGGTTTGTTGTCGCGCGAATGTTTGCACTGGGCTTTCTTTTGCGAGCGTGTAATCATAATTATTTTAAATGGCAGTCAAGTGGTCGGTGGGCCAGCAAAAATGGCAGCCGGAAACAGAACATCACCATAACATGAGAAAGGCAGTAACTCAAAAGTAGGCAACTGTTTTCCGCTCGCAAATAATAAATAAAGTTTATGCGCGCGAAAACGTCAGTTTAATTGGTTTCAAGTTTTTCCTTCCAATTTATGCACTGCTTTTATTAATGGATTCATTTTTTGTTAAGAACATTTCAATGGTTAATTTGCCTTTTATTCAGTTTATAAATATTTATTGAGCAGCATTTGTTTTGTTCGATTTTCCTTGTGAATTTAAAATTGATTTTGTATTTACTTGTTTACCATCTTTTTGGTTATTAAATAAAGGAATTTAATATCTTTACTTTATGTATTTAAATAGACCATATTATAAGCGAACTCTTTTACAAACTTTGGATTTTAATTATATTTTATGTATTGCTCTCATTGTTTGTTCAGTTTTTACCATTTTCAAGGCATTTAACGCTTTAATTAAACCACTTTTTTTCGTGTCTGCTTGTCTGATTTTTATAGCATTATTATTAATGCGGTCGCTTTATCAGAACTTCACATAATCCTCGCATGGAATATTCGTTTTTTGTTTGTCAGGGGAGTTGAGTTAAGCCGCGTTGAGTGTTTACATTTAATTGCAATTTTGTACTTTGACATGACGGCAGGAATTATGACGCTCAAAAACTCACACACGCTCCAATGAAAATGCAAATTAATAAATATAAATAACAATTATAACGGATTAAAATGCAGGGAAAGTGTGAAGATTTAATATGATTGATCGAATTGCTCCTCAAGTGGCAAGTTTGGCCTGCATTCGGTGTCAAGTTCATGTAATCCAATGCAAAACAAAGACCAAATCCTGGCTAAATCAGAGCCGTTAAGAGCGTTTTGTAAGAGATGTTGCCAAAAACGAGAAAGAGAGGGCGGCGAGTGGGCTAAATGAAAATGTAATAAAAAGTGGCGCGCAGAAGCGTGAAAAAACACACAAAAAACGAAACGGAAAGGCGGAAAACACACAGGCACGGCGGAAAAGCTTCCGTTTTTGGGGGAAAAGCTGCTGCTGTTGCTTTGAGACGCGGCTGCCTTTTGATGTTACCGCCAAAGAGACGCCAGCAAACTGTTTTCAACTGTCTGTCTGCTAAGGTTTCGGCCTTGCCATTGATTTTTGCTGGCCCACAACAGATGTTTATATATTTGGAACTTTATAATATTTACGAAATATTTTATAAATATTTAATAAATATTTTGTATATTGGTTTTTAAAGATTTTTTGTTAGCAAACACTTCAAACTTGAAGAATTTAACTACTTTAATTTTTGTTTGTTATATCTCACTTTTTGTCTTTTACGAAACAGTTTATTTTTTGCCGCCTCGGAGTCCTGAAAACTCAATTATCCTGGCCGGAAAGCACACACGTCCGTTGCTTTGCAGAGCTCGACGCAAACTGAGTTCTGTGTTTGGTCCTCCTTTCATCTGGCCAGATGTAGTAGACCCAGAGCCCATTATTTCGCAGACTCCCCGGCAGAAGCTTGCACTCAAAGTGATAAGAGTTCCACTCAAAGCACTCAAACTCACAGGGGAAAAAACTCACTCGAGCAAATGAGTGACTTGTGGGCTGCAACTCACAGGCGATTTTGATTAGAATCCATTCAATTAAGGTCTTTTAATTGTGCGCACTTAGATTGCGATTTGTCAAAACAGAAAAACCCCGAAACCCATTGACCCCAAGCCACTTGAAAGTAATCTTAAGTGGTATAATTATTGGCGCCTAGTAAAGTGCTGTTCTATAAGTTCTACTGATAAGGAAGGTTCAGTTCGTCTGCTGGACTCTCCCCCGATTATAAAGCTAGAGATCCGGCGGAATCTGCTTCTATATGTGTTTTGGGTCAAGTTTGAACCGCATTTCCTTGTTGTTGTCCGACCGTTCTTCTTGTTTTGTTCATAATTTTGTTTATAACTAGAAGTTCTCGATTATAGGAATGCGGAAGATATGTTATGTTTTTATTATGGGAAGAAAAGAAACCATGACGGCTAGCTCAGACAGTTATCATTCAAGTACTTATTAGGGTAAATTGGGATTTTTATTTATTATTCCATTTTGAGGAATTAGACTTGTTTATGTATGTTTCGGGGAATTTATTGAAATATTTTTATTGCAAAAATTGTACTTAATGTATTTTCTACAACAATACAATATATTTCGGGGAATTTGACTGCTTTGCGTTTATTTAAGTTTCCAGGAATTGCACTTTATTGAAATATTTATTTTGTCGCCTAAATATTAGGTACTAAAAGTAGGCAGAACTAACTCGAAAACAAAAAAATAGATTATAATAATAGGCAAAGCACTGACCTGCGAGTACTTTAAAAAATCAGATTATTAAATTGCTTTCTTATCAACAATCTCATACAATGTAGTTTCGGTTTATTCTGGTTTTCTAATTTATTTCTTGTGTTTAGTTATACCTATTAATAACAGTCCTACAACATAAGTGAAATACGTAATGTAGTAATTACATTTTCTAATGAGCAAACAAAACCTATTTGTAATATTAATTTGTAATTATTTATGTATATATTATTCGTAATAAATTAAACTAATTTCCAGGGTGGCCAAGTATTGTTTTGACAAATTAAGCTTGCCAAAATATTTAATTTCCCATCAGTGCCATGCAGTACTTGGAGCAATCAAATCGAATTGAGTTGTTTGTTCTTTGAGTGATTAAATCCATTCGATTTGAGCACTTCGGGGCCAGTTTATCAACCAAGGCTGATGCAATGGCTTAGTTAAATTGCACTTGACTTGTTTGCAGTGCCCCTAAATTAGACTCAACTCGACTGTAACTGGGTTGTTGGTAATTTACCAGGCGTGTGCTCGACTTAAGACCCCCTATACTATATATAATTGCGGCTCAGCTGAGTTCTGTGCTTAAAGACTAAGCCCGAAAACCCAGGCGAGTGCCCAATATTTACGGCTGGCAGTGTTTTGAGCACTGCTGCCTGAAAGTAGGCAATGGTAATTTTTTCGGAAACCCCAGGCCAAACAAAGTCAACGAACCGTGGATCGAAACAGACTGGTCTGCTACAAACCAAACTTAAATTAAATGCAGGGGCTAATAGAAAAAAGAGAACACACACAGGGAGTGTAAAAATTAAATGAAAATAAATTCGAGGAGTCAGAGAGGAGGATTTGCGGGGAAAGTCCTGCCTACATGACACTAAATAAACAGCCAGTTGTTACTTACTCAACAGCGAAGCCAAACAAATGGCAAGAGCAGAGAAACAGAAAAACAGAAAACACCAAAACCAATACGAAGGCAAACAGCACACGCAGAGCGAAGTAAATGGTTAGTTCTGTGACATTTCTAAATTGAAAAACTACAAATGACTGACAACAGATTAGAGCGAGAGCGCACGTAGTTCGCAGGCAACAGCTGGGTTTTCACTGGGTCCTTCCCCCGCCGTAAATCCCCATATCCCAGTCCCCATGGCAAACCCAATTCCGTTGCTTGACTTTGTAGGATATGGCCCAGCTCTCGGCCATGGCCACACACATAAGAAAATAAATAATCAAAAGGAAAAAAATAAAAAGAAGAAACAACACCAGCTAGGAGTAGAAAAAATTGGCAAAACTTTACTTTAAAAGGCTCTGGAAAAAAGATACAGCAAGAAAAAGTAAGACTGCAAATACATTTTGCGGCTCTGGCTGTTGATTTCTTTCAAGTGCGCCGTTTTGTGCAACCTTTCGAGAGTATTTGAATAAGACAACACAGCTGAAGTGAAGGCCTAATCAAAGCCGGACGGATACAAATTGTAAGAAACAGGAATTGAGAGTGGCAAGGACAGAGCAATACAGATTTTCTAGTGATTTATTTGTATTTATAGAGGTAGCTACATGATGAACTCGAGGATGTGATTGTTGAAAAGAGGTTTGAAACTATAGATTCCTATATAATAAAGGAGGTTTTAATTGGAGGATTGGAAATGTACTTGGAACTGATTTTTCACACTCAAAAAAAAACATACATTTTATTGCAGGATTGGAAATGGTTTATCATATTTTAGAACAAGTTTTGGGTTAAATTTTAAAAAAATTTCGAAACTTAAAGATTTTGAATGAACCTATTTAATGGGAAGATTGAAAATGTACATGGAATTGGTTTTCCTCACTTTATGTTTTGTAAAATTTGATTAAAATTATTAGATAATAATTGAGTATAAAGAATTTTAAATTTTAAAGAAACCGATCAGATCAATCAGAGTTTTTTTATTTCCTAAGTTAAATTAGAATTTTTCTCGCTGTGCACTCACCTATGAACTTGCACTCCTCCAGTCGCTCATCGCTGTGGTCCCGACAATCAGAGTGCCCATCGCACGCCCATCGTATGGGGATACACTCGCCCGTGGAGCACTGGAACTGCTTCTCATCGCAGTGGTTGGACAGACTGAGCGCTGCAAAATCAAATGCATATTAATTAATTAAGTTGGAAATCCTCGGGTTAGCCGCAGACTATAATTAAACGGAAATGGGAGACGATGGCGGACCGTAAGTTGGAGTTTTGTCCCAATGGGAGGGCCTAATAAAATTCATAACTAAAATTTAAGTTGAAAACTTTGGCTCGTTAAGCACACACTGAGGAAGCGAGATAGCGATGGTTAGATGGGATGGGCCAGGGTTTTGTGGTAAGATGGTAAGGCGCTTGTTGACAAGCCTTAAAACCCTTTTTAATGAAAGCCGAGACTTGACAATAAACAAAAACTTGTAAATAATGAAATCCAACCGAAAGGGCGGTGCTTCACATGTCCTGTATACATAAATTCTGGTTGGGTGAGTGTGGGTGTTTCTGCGGTCCATGTTTCTGGCGGTGAACCGCAAAGGGCAGCCGCAAATGAAGGGCAGAAAGTTTTTGGGGAATTAATAAGCGAGAATTTCGGATGGCAGCTAGTTGGAAAGTTGAAAAGTGTCGCCTGGAATGGCTTCATCAATCGTTTTACGGGCCCCTTGACATTTCACTCGGCCGCCTTAATCTATCTTTCATTTTCTCTGTGTCTTTCGGCCGATTAGCATATATGCTAAAGCCCACCGACTTTCGGTTAATGTGCCACCATTATGCCAAAGTGTCTCAGTTCTCCCTGGATGTGTGTGTGTGAGACGGTCTATCCGCGTGCCATTTACCGTTTAATTGCGCGCGTTTAACACAAATTGACAATTGCTTGGGAAACGTCACAATCACGCACGAGCTCACCCTGAAAGTCACGCACACCGACATAAAAAAGGGTGGACCCTAACTGCAATCAAGGGACTTGAGATCATAAAGTTGCGAGTCTCAAGAAATAAAGATTTTTTAAAATATTTTTTTAAACATTTCTTTTGATTTAAATATTTTAATAAAAATTAAGCATACAACTGTTAATGGGATGCTTAAACCATCTGTAAATATATTAAAAAGATAAGTAAGAAACCTAAGAAAATTTGTATGATTCTAGATATTTCACAAAAACAATTTTATCTTTGACCAACATGTCGTATAAGTTATTTTTGTGAAAATTGTAATTGAAATTACTACCCCAGACATTAAAAATGGATTGCTATTTGTAAGTTAAGATCATTTTGCTTACTTCTACATTTTAAATGGATGTATTTGCAACTTAAAATGGAGATCACATTGGTCCAGTCCTTTATACACTCGCCTACGCATTTAATTACCAAATCAGACCTGTCATGCATTCTGCCCTGAGCACGCACACACGTCCAGGAGCACACACACACTCGCACATTTGATAAGTGTTTGAGTGTGTCTGTGTCAGTTGTTCATTACCAGGGGAAATTCAAGACATGCAAGGCTTCAAATTCCTCCTGCCATCGCTTCAAATTTTTCGCTGATTGTATTTTTTCCCCCTGCCTTTCTTTCGCCCCTGCACTTTTGCATTTTCTTCATATATGCATGTATGTATTTATTTGCCAAAAATATATTCAACGTTTCCCCCTGCCTTTTGCCTTTTATTCTTGTGGAGCTGGAAATTTTTTATTAGTCCCCGTAAATTATTAAAAATGTGCGCACACATTTTGAATTTATGAAAAGAGTTTTGTTTGCTCCTGTCGTCTGCACTTGTTTGGCGCTCACAGATTGCAATTGCCATTGTAGACAAATCTGTATGTAAAAGTGCAATGCAATTTGCATTTTAAGTGAGTCGTTTAGTAGCTTAATTGAAATAAATATTAAAGGAGAGAATGCCCCTTATCCAATCCGTTTGACAGGGCTTAGATTAGTCGGGTTGCATCACGTGCTGCAACCTGAAACCGAAACCGAAACTAAAACCAATTTATTCATCTCCTATTTGCATTCTATTTATTTTTGCATTTCCAGAAATATATTTTACGGCCGGCAATTGGTTAATGGACACTCACAAAGTATTTTCCTTGATTCGTTTTTGCAATGCATTTATCGTTTTCATCTGTCAAGCAAGTTTATTTTAATTCACAAAGGTAAGTAAAAGCATTCATTTAAAAAGCTTTAAATACTTTGCGGCGATTTTCTTAATGAAATGTGAAATTATGCGGCAAACAGAATTTTTAAGTATGCTAAGGAAGCTTTAAAAAACAGATTATTTCCGGCTTTTATTAAAACTCAAATTATTTTAAATTATTAAAATTCCTGTATAATCTTTTTTATCGAACATTACTTTCTGGAAAAACACATTTGTAAGGCGGATATACAAGTTAAATGTTAAATAAATGTTGTTTTTGTTTTTAATATTCCTTATCAATTTCCTCTCCCGGCCAGCTTTTTAATAAAAGTTATACCTTTAAATTTCTGTATATTCTTTTTTTTATCAAACTTTAGTTTCTAGAAAAGCATATTTTTGAGGCGTATATAAGTTTGTTTTCATTGGAAATTAAATTTATATTTTTTTCTAAGTATATACCTTATCAATTTCCTCTCCAGGCGTTTATTTCCACGGCAATTCACCCAGTTCTGCCGGCCAGCTATTTAATACAAATTAAATCAGTGGGGCAATAATTTCTGGTGCGTTCCACAAAGACCACAACGATGGAGCAGCTGCCTTCGTGGGTAATAGCCGCCAATTTGATTGACAGAATCAGAATCACAAATGTCCGTCCGACGAACAGCAGGCAACTGGCCAATTAAATGCTTAATGCGAAGTTCATTGAACAGTTTTATTTTACTTTACTTTATTCCATTCCATGCCCAGGAATCAATCAGGAAAGAAAATGCTGGTCAAGAGTGTTTCACATGAAAATCTCGCACCATTAATTCAATGACAGCAAAGGGCATGACAGGAGGGCCGTCTTGGTTGGCCAAGAGGGCGAAATAATAAACAGAAATCAGCGCAGAAGTCAATCAGAGTTCAAATCAATATAAATGCTTTATTAATGGCCCGAAAGGTTGTCGATGTTGAGTTGAGATGCCAAACCCCCCGATTTGATTACGCCTGCAATCCTATTAATAGTAGGTGATTAATCACTGATTTGCCCATGGTCAATAGGTACACCGCAATAACAATAGGGAATTACGCAAATTTAGATAAAATATTAGACCAGCGAATTATGATAGCGAGAACTTTGCACCTGAACAGGCGTTCGATGTGATAAGATTATTTTACGCATTGGTTTAATGAATTTAATCGTTCTTTTGTTGACTATAAACTATTTTTAAGGATGGGCAGGTTACAGTTACCTAATGTAATTGCCCCTAGATTTGTTGTTACGCAATGAAGTGGTCATTAAACTTCTGTTGTAAACCTAAGCGGGTCATTAAAATGTTTACCATGTTTATTTTAAAAACTTACATGTTGTTAAACTTTCAATCCTGCTACAAAGAAATGTTTTAACTATTTTGCAGGTCGGTCAAAAGGTACAATTACTTAATTAGGTGCTAACAAATTGTTCTTGGTCTTTGCTAATTTTATAAAATGACACAAAGTTAAGTGCTAACTAGTTTTTAGGTCGGAAGTAAAATGCAGGTTTTAATTATAGGTACTCAGAATTATTTTCGACTGTTTGCTTTAAAGCTCTTTTTAATGACAGTCATTACATTAGAAAACTTTCAAACGCTGTTAAATTTCCATATTAGCACCTTGGTATCCCATTCCTTCTAAAGTTTTCCAAACACAGATATTTCGTATAGATTATTCAGTTATCTGACTTTCTGGAAGCGCCTGCTGGTCACTCCAGATAAGACAGATACCCTGCTGAGTGGACAAAAAAAGCAAAACTATAAAACACTATCTAGAGATACGAGTACTACGATTTTGCAGACACCTTATCAAGCACCACGTAATGTTTTGGTACCGTTTTAAAGAGTTATTGTAGTTTTTATGGCTTGAATAGATTTCGACTTAGTCATAAATTCGATTGGCGGGTAAGCGGAAGATTAATAAATTCTCTTATCTCACAAGTGTCTAAAAAAAGTCATAGCTACGTAGTAGGATTTAATTATAAATTTTCTGGTCGAGCATGAGAAGTCAAAAAATAGTTTATGAAATAGGCAAGACAATATATGAAATTTGTATGCCCTTTTAAGTTCCGAAATACCTTTTATCTCTAAGGCTATTATCTCATAATTATAATAATTTCGTGTGATTTTTTTCCACTGCCTGCATGGAGATAACATTTTGGGTTGATAAAAATGGGTACCTTTTGCCATGACGATAAAGAATAATCAACAAATAATTGTATAATCATGTGAACATTGCGCTTTGGATATCAACCTGTACCCAGAAAACTCCAAAGAGTCAACCCATTTTAAAGTTAAAAACCAAAGAGAAACTATTCAAACTGCTCTTAAATGTTGTTGGCAAGAGATGTGAATTCATTCGATATGCTTCATTACGAGTGTCTTGTTATTGTTTTTGTGGTTAATGGGAAAAAGGTGGCCTGATCGCTAACGTCATAGCCGGGCCAAAATAGTCAAACAACATTATTAAAAGCAACAATAACAATTACTCACACAACTGTTTGGGCGAAAATGGCATTAACGTGACTCAGTACTATATCTGCTAATAATGAATGATGTTCCTTATAGTCGCTCAGGAATTTCGCCAACGTCATCGGCTGTTTGTTGTGAGATGTAGCGCCAGGCGATTATAGAGCTTCCCTACCCACATAGAATATCTAATGAATGCATTTTCGTACTCGTGATTTGCTGGGAATTTTTTTTCGACAAGCCAACACATCACGCCACTTTTTTGCCTTGTAAATGAATTTGGCTCGCCAACGCTGCGTATGCGTAATATTTTAATTGAATTCCCCCGAAAATAGAAAACCAATTAGGAAAGAGAAATTCACTGGGTTTGTGTGAGTGGGAAAAAGGCAGCGTCTTAAAGGCCAACAAAGCTCTGACCATCACACCTCGTTGGCCGTTCTGTTTAGAGCAACTTTGAAAAAAAAACAGTTAACACCGTTTGATTGTGTTTTGCATGCTCGGCTTATGAAATTTGTCACTCGAGCACGAACAATTGTATTGCACTTATTCGGCTTCCCAATAGTGGTAGTGGTGGTGGAAATAAAAACCAGTTTTCAACAAAAAAAAAAAAAATCAAAAGAAAATCGTTTTTTGTGCCCCATAATTATACATAATGGCAAATGTTTTTGTAATTAAGGCAGTTGCAACGAAACGAAAACGACGTCGTCCAGGGACCAAGTTTGTATCAGGGACAGTCGAATCCAGAGCACGTGCAAATTCCAGGCATAATTAGCCAAGTTAATTATAAATGTCCCGGCCAAGTTGGGACGACGACGACTGGCCTTTTTTTAAGTTTCCTTCCAGGCGATGAGCAAACTTGTTTCAATTCGATTTTGAAATAAATCAACTCGGCCAGGAAGTCGCATGCGATGCCTGGGAAACTTGCGATGTCGTTCGAAGCCAGTCATTAAAGCTGTCAAGGACGTGCCCAGAAGTTGCTGCCAAATGAGAGTTGTCAATGCTGTCCGCCCAGAGTAATTTCAATTTTGATTCTGATTCCGATTTAGCTGGCTGCGAGTTTAGTTGGGCGGAAATAACTGTCATCCGTGACCCATATCCCCTATTAAAACCTGTCTAACGATTTACTTGACACCTGAGCTTTTGCCTTTATTGAAACTGTCAGCGAAACTACAGCGAAAATGCATTTGTTTCGCCAGGAACTATTTATAACGGCTAACATATATATTTTTGACATCGTTAGTAGACTATCCTATGAAGCAACGGTTTATACTTTGCCAATCATCTGCCTTTAACCTTTAAGCTACGGTTATTATCATGACCCAGCGAAATTCATTTTGTTTTTAACTTTGACATTCGTTGGCATAAATTCAAGTTAACCAAGTTGAAGGTTTCATTAAAATTTTAAAAGAAACTTGCTTCGAGTTTAACCATTTGTAATTCCCCTACTGTGAACCTAATGACATAAACATCTTAGTTATCAATCACGTGGATTTTTTTTAAGCAATGGTAAATAAAAATGTTAAATTCTGGTCTTTTTGCTTTTTTAATTTCTTGAAACTATGGCCTGATTTTTAATGAATGTCTATTTAATTGTAATTTCCATACTGTTCCTTAAAATTGTGCCAAACACTTGATTTTGAATATCCATATATGGAAATGATTTACGTAGGGGTTTGCTTATTGCCATTGAGTCAAAATCTGCCAAGTGGGCCACCCCTGTTCCGAAGGTCCGATTTTCATCGAACTTTTTTACTTTTCCGGTTCACAACGAAAATATAAGAACTTCATTTGAACGATTTTGCGAAATTTTGAGTTTTACCGGAGTTATAGGGGTCAAAACATGGCATTTTTGTCACTTTTTCGAAAAAGTTGCACTCAGTCATTAATTCATAACTTCGGAACGGTTAGAGATATCTTTATGATGTTTTCACTAATCGCTCAAGAATTATTATGGCTTTCCATAAAAAAATGTAAAAAAAATTAAAAATTTTTGTTCTTAAAAATAAATCAACATTTTTTTTAGTTTTTATTTTTTTCAGTGTTCTTCACCAGCTATAGGGTTTAAAACCATTTGAAAATAAAGTTTGATTCATTACGAAAAAGATCCAAAAAAAAAAGAGTGGCCCGGCCAAAGGTTTTTCGCAATATCGATTTGAAGAAGGGCGCACAGCGGTTTCCCATACAAAAACGGCTTGCTCGTGAAAACTGGCTGGTCAACACATGCCGTAGCGAGCGTAGCGTCAGCTGTCAATGGGGGACTTTTTGCCGTTTTGTATGGGAAACCGCTGTGCGCCCTTCTTCAAATCGATATTGCGAAAAACCTTTGGCCGGGCCACTCTTTTTTTTTTTGGATCTTTTCGTAATGAATCAAACTTTATTTTCAAATGGTTTTAAACTCTATAGCTGGTGAAGAACACTGAAAAAAATAAAAACTAAAAAAAAATGTTGATTTATTTTTAAGAACAAAAATTTTTAATTTTTTTTTTAATTTTTTTATGGAAAGCCATAATAATTCTTGAGCGATTAGTGAAAACATCATAAAGATAAATCTAACCGTTCCGAAGTTATGAATTAATGACTGAGTCCAACTTTTTCGAAAAAGTGTCAAAAATGCCATGTTTTGACCCCTATAACTCCGGTAAAACTCAAAATTTCGCAAAACCGTTCAAATGAAGTTCTTATATTTTCGTTGTGAACCGGAAAAGTAAAAAAGTTCGATGAAAATCGGACCTTCGGAACAGGGGTGGCCCACTTGGCAGATTTTGACTCCATTGCTTATTCATTATCATCGCTTACACAAAAACAGCAGCGTTCAAAATAATAGCAGTTAAGTTAAAAAAATCTAAAATATTTAAGATGACGTTACTTAAAACAGTTAAGTAAATACTATCATAAACTTATAATTATAGCAGTAACCAATTTGTTAAAATGTTTTCCCTAATTTTTTGCTTCTAGAAATTAACCAGAAAAGCCAAGTCAAAGGTGGGGTTTAGAAATGCTTGGTTTTATCGAGTAGTAATATTACTTTAAAACCCCTTAACGCCGCTATTAAACTTTGCTTGGCAATAGCAAATGTTTAAAAATAAATCGAGGCATTTCCAGTTTTTATTCTAGTTGTTTATCTGCCACGTGCTGGAGTCATTTTGAAAGAAACTTTGACCAATGTGCAAGGCCAAGAAACTCCAAGAATCAGACACTTGTTGCTCTTTTCATTCTCTTCTTCCCCGTCTGTTTCTCTCCTCTTCTCTCTCTCTTTCTCTGTGTTTTCTCTGCGAGTTTCACAAGAGCCGCCGGAGTTAAAGTCTTCAAGTGGCGCTCCATTCGCTTCGTGGAGCGAAGCCGGCCGGTAGAAAAAATAAGCATAAAACGGAATAATTACAAGGGGAAGCAGAACAAGCAAAGAGTGTACACTGAGAGAAATTAATTCAACATATTTTATTTTTCAAAAAAAATTAATCTTCTTTAAGAAAATATTAAAATTCACTAGGATCACTAGGATTTACTAGTTTGGAATACAAAATTTAAATGTCGTAAGCAGCTGTGTTTATAAAATTCAGAAATTTCATATTTTTAGTTCGGTCAAATATATAGCATTTTTAGATATTTTCTTAAAGTTGTTTCAACATTCGTCGCACTGATTTATACCAAAATTTTTTTTATGTTTTTATTTAAAAATATAATACAACATTAAATCAATTTTTTACGAAATTATTTTTTGTTTCTTATGTTTTTTTTTGTTTGTAAATTTTTATGTGATATTTTTCCCAGTGTAAGCAGACGCGAGTGCGGAGGAAAGTAAAAGGTTTGTGCCGACAAAAAAGAGTGGAAAGGAGTTGTGGACAGGGGGGAAAATCGGGGGAAGAGCTCTGCAGTCTGAAAATCGTATGACGTTGTGGAATGTGGAGACATGGAAATGGAAGTGGAGTTTACTGGCATTGCCAGACGCTTTGGCTTTCGGCTGGCTGGCAACAAAATTCACATAAATAAAACTTGAGCCGAGTATGTCGGAGTCGGGAGTCGCATTCGGAGCCTTAGCTAAAATCGGAGCCGGGCTGGAAATCGGGGTATATATATATACACATGAAGCCGTGGCTGGTGGCATGATCGCCAGAAATGCGAGAGGCGGTGGCAGCAACAACAATAAACACCGCCGCCCCTTACACTCGGAGAAATCGAAGAAGATCTGATAAAGTCTGGCCGTGAATGGAACAATGGCACTAATTAGGATTAATGATAGCGGGAACACTAAGGTTTCTATCAAGGTTTTTTTAAAGTCTTTGTTGTGTCGAAATTGATCTCCCATTACTCATAATTGGTTAGGCCTTATAGCAAATATGGATTTGCAATAAAATATGGCAATGAAAAAATGGCTTTACCGTTTTATAAATGATTCATTTTTCTATGGTTGGAAATTACTTAAGCTTGTTATAAAAAATATGACTGCAACTTGGATTATCAATATAAATCATTCTATTGAGAGCTTAACGGCAGTAGTATTCTAGTTGTCATGTATTGTAAATTTTTAGTTAAATCATTTTGTTATCTGTATTTTGATTCATTCAGAAGTCTAAGTAAGGGTTATTTTTAAAATTTATAATAATAATTTAGAAATATTTCTAAATTTATAGATTTCTAATACTCTAGTTGTTAGTCTAAGTGATGATGTGATGTTAATACTTGATACATCATTAATGTATAAATATTAAAATAATTTTAATAATAATGTAGATTTAAAATTCGCCTAGAAATATTTTTCTCCCTGTTAGTAGTTTAAATCAAGTGGTTTTTAAGAACTCACATATATCCAGTGGGGTTCCGATCTTGCCGGAGACGTTTAGGAACTTCAAGGGATTTCCGTTGAACACCGAGTTGATGGAGTTGCCAAAGTTGCCCATTCCGATTCCCATTCCAGATCCAGATCCACTAGGACTTGGACTTATGCTATTCGCGGCCGCCGGAGCCAGGTGCTTCAGCTGATCGAGGGTCGGTCCTAGAGTACTGGCCTTCAGTCGCTCCAGCAGGGCCGATCCACTCAGATTGTGCATTATCTCGCTGGCAGTGGGCGTGGCAGCCGTGACCTGGGCGGCATTCAAAGCCGCTGCATTGCAGAACTTGCTGATGCTCAGAATGCAGGTGATGAAGAGCAGGTGAAATGATGAGGTGAAGCTGAAGCTGATCAGCTGCTGCACTTTACTCTGATAATGTGTGCTGGCGCTGTAGAAGAAGCCACTGGTTTTAGATGGTTCTTTATAGCAACTGCTACTGCTACTCCCACTTTCATTTGTTCGTAAATCATCTGTGTGGGTTGTTTGAAAGCTTTCCGTGAATTCCGGCAGGTGGCAGGCTGTTGCCATCTTTTGCAGCTGCTAGAATGTATAGGGTAAAAACTCACTTTAGACGCACTTTTCACTCTAATTTCGATTTGCCAACTTATTTATATACGGCCATCTTATTAAATAATAAGTCCAACACGCAACGTTTGCCAAAAAACACAGAAATTTCACAAAAGTGAGAGAATGAATCGAATGTATCGGGAAGAGAGTGCAAGGTAGAGGCGGCGATAAACATGCTGAAAAAGCCACGACCGAAAAAAGAAACATCATACGATGTTGCGAAAAAAAAGAAACAGCATAAGAGCAAAGAAAACACGAAATACACAACACACTCACAAAAAAGTGCAAACTTAGGGCGACGACTTTGGTCAAAACGAGGGTTAAACCTCTTGCTGTCTCTGTCGCTCATCGTATTGCCGTCTCTTTCTACTCTTTATTTGAATATATCAGCTATCAGCGCTGTAACGTGTGATAAGCCCAGGTAAGCCCAGGTAAGTCATGCGCAGCCACTACCCATTGACACCATTCCCTTTTCGAATGGGTTCCGTTTATTTTTTATTCCAAATCTTTTATTTATTTTTTGTTTTATGGCAAAGGCTAAACACATGTTCAGCCGAAATTTATGCTGTTTTTTTCACATGACATATTGACGTAACGTTTGGCCAAAATAGATTCATACATTATTTTTCAATTAACACTTTTTTCCGCCCGACAAACGCCGATGATGATGAGCTGGCCTTTAAAGCCCCGGCTTGAACTTTTTTTATTTGCTCTGAACTTTTGCTTTCCGAAACTTTTTAGCGTTCCGAAATCTCTCGGTTTAACGGTGAAGTTAAAATATCCAAAGCATGGGGCGGATACGCGATATGCGACTAGCGACGACCCAACGGCACGCACTGCGGTTTCAGACTGCTGACTTCCACTGCCGGTGGAATATCATATCGGCGGACCAATAGCACTGTTTTCAGGCCTTCGGGAGAGCTCGTTTTTCGCTCGGCTGCGAACCGAAGATCGCCACGCGTACAAGATCTTACCTGTCATCAGAAAAAAGAGAGCGGGAAAAATCGACGTCATCAGTGGTGGAGGCCCCGTACTAAAGAGCGATACGATTATCACGCTCACCAAAAACTAAGGGACTATAAAACCAACGAGCACTCTTCAACTGACATTGAATTGGCATGAGCAGGTGGTTCTCTCTTACGACCCGCTCTCTTAACAATCCATTTTGGAGGTGTGTTCCCTCCACTTTTTTTGTCGTTCTATGGCCAATTAGTGGGGTAGGCAATTTCTGTAATTATAGGTCTAAATTGTCTGTTGGATGGGGTCAAACTGTCAAGGCTTCGATTGAAAACAATAATGGGATTTTTGATTTAAATACACCTGTGTCTCTGATAGATCAATTGCTTGGGAAGCAAATATTCGAATGCATGAAAAGATCATGCATAAATTTTAACTAACATAACAAATTTAAATTAACATCTTCAAACGTTGAAGGGCTTTTAGCAAGTCTGAATGGCACAACAATGGATTGAAAATTGTATTTGATTAACGTACTTTTAAAGGTATCGATAATAAAAAATCGTTTTAAAGTAAATAAAATTAAAAGAACATTTTTTTTTAATTTTTGCAAAGTTTCGGAAAATAAAAAATTTATAAAAATGGATTTCCTCATAAAAATCCCACCCACTAAGCAAAACGTAATACATATCACTGGAGTATGCTACACATAAGTATATTCTGAGTTTATTATTCATCATATTTCTTTTTAGTGGGGAAGCATATACATATGTATGTACACTTAACAAATACAGTTAACAAAAGGCTAATACGTATGTAGTAATGATGGTAATATAATAAAACGATTCTGCTCCTCGACAACAGAAATATAATTTCTCTCTTTCAACTCTCTCTAATAGTAGACCATAAGCATTATGATCTTTCGTGTCATGTTTACGTATAGTAATATTAATTTGCTTCATTTAAAAATAATGCACACTTACAGCTATATACAGTTTGGAACTATTTAATTTATAATTAGCAATTAGATTTCTCTTAAACATCTCGATTTCATTTACGTTTTTCATTACTCTTATTGATTTTTTTTTTTCGTTTTTTTTTGTTTTGTGATAGAACTCTGCGACGTAGTATTTTGTACAGCATCCTTTGAGGATGCACCCCCAAGGTGACCCGCCATCCTTGCCGTGCCTTAAAATTTTAAAATAATTAATTTACACAATACACAGAGTTGCTCAGTCTTCAGGCGTGTGTTTTCTTCTGCCGCGGGTCTCGAGTCAGCTTTGGTCGGTTTCAATTTGTCCAGCGACCAAGCGAAAGAATCATCCAATCCACATTCCATTAAAAAGGAATCATTCTAATACGAGGATATGCCTATGACGGGTGAGTACTGTAAGGGAGAGGAAAATAGTTGATTAACATTTAATAAAATCAAGAACTATGATTTGTATTGTACACCCAAAAATACTTGATATGAAAAGATGGTCGACTTTACGTTATGTGGTATCAATTTGATTTGATATGCTCGAAATGTAACCAACAGGCTAGTTCGAATTTGTCTTTCTCCCTCCCACTCATGTAACTTTAAGCGCTTTCTCGCTCTATTTCGAGTCTCCGAAAAAAAGAAATCGGTATTTCACGGTTAAAACGATATGCCAGAAATTTACCATGCGCATATCGATTTGGCCGCGACGTGATTTTTTTTTTAAGTAGGGCTATTAAGTTTTGATCTCTTATTAAAATATTATTCTGCTTAGAAACCCACCTCCTCATCCATGACACTAGTATGATCGTAGATCCGTGCCGGCAGGTTTTTGCGCAGACTGAAATGATCCTCTGTGGTGGTGGTCTTGCGATAGATGGGATTCTCAAAGTTCATCGAGTTGATGCGTCGCTTGCTGCAGTAGCGATAGCCAATGAGCAGGAGCTGTCGAGGTCCAGATAAATTGATTAGTTTTTCCCCATTTCCAACCCCATTTTCCGTTACACCCAACTTACCACCGAGAGCAGGACTGCGAAGCCACTGAGACTGGCTATGACCACCAGCGCAATAAAGCCGGAATCCGGCTGCTCACTGGGCGTTGCGGTCTTTTCGATTTGGGTCTGGTTCTTCATTGGACGCTGGTCGGCAACTGTGGACAAAAATTGATTCGAAATTAGGCAAGTTTTCAATGGAAAAGAGGGAAAACAATCAACAAATAAACACAAATAGGGTTAAAGTTAGTGAAAAGGTGTAACTATTTAATGGTTATTAAGTTTACTTACAAACATAAATAAGCAAGGTAAAAATAGGGCTTAAAAATAGTTGTAAAGCAGAATAAAAACATATTAAAAGCCAAAATATATTATACAAAATACTATTATATTTTTAAAGCCATTAATTAGGAAGAACATACAATTATACTTTTAAACATTAAATGCACACAAGTATTATTGTTAAAAAATATTTTAAAATAAACAAAAAATTCTACCATATGAAAAACTTAAATATTTTTAACGCACTACACTTTTGGCCACCCGCTGTTTGATTTTACCCTTTAATACCCAGCTTTTTCCGAGCACAATGACGAGGCTTAAACGCTACTTCACCTTCGGCAATGATAAACAAAAAGGGAAACTGTATAAAAAGAAAACGGAAATCATTGCAATAAAAGAGCAAAGCGAAAGAGGGAATCAACATCAAAATCCAAGCGGCTTAGAACCCCCCCTGGATCAACCCTCCCAAAACTCCTCTTTCGACTCCGGAGATGCGAAGGAATTTTCAATCAAATCGCTCAAAGTGCGCATTTAGGCGCAAATAAACACTTAAACGCGCTCGCGCCTTTGATGGCGCTAACTTTTATGCGAAAGAAGCGGCCTGCCGCCGATTTAGATTGGGAATAGGAATGGGAATGGAAATGTCGAATGGCAATGGCGAATGGCAACCTAATGACATCGTTAACTCAGCGCATTTAATGGGATTTTTGTAGGGCGTCGCGGGAGGACTTCTTCTAGCCGAAACACTAAAAGTTATCAACATTAAGTTGAGCCGCACTTTAAAGCAAACACTCCACTGGGAATGACAGAGGGAGAAGCCCTCACCCTCCTTTCACCCGATATTAACCTCATACTTTGCGGCTGGGGATTGTGGGATATTATGGGGGTGGTGTAGGGGGTGGTGATGGGTGATAGGTTCCCCCCGAGGGGTTTCAATTGCAGTGCTGGCCCATCGTTGGCCTGCCTACTTGCGGTTGAGAGCGATGCAAGTGGCTCAACTGCGATGGCATTTATGAAACTGTCAAGGATATATGGGGTATCCTTGCCCAACTCCCTCCTGATGATGATTAATGTGGGCCATGACAAAGCAAATGTTGCGGATTGGATGCTCCTTTGGTTGAGTGCGGATCCTGGCGAGCAGTTTGATTAATACGCTTGCAATAAATCTGAATCTGAATCTGAGTCGCACCAAAAGTGTTTATAAACAGTGCGTGAGAAAGACCTCAAACGGGTAAATTGAGAGGAAGTCGCCGGGTTGTCAACCCATCCGAAAGGATAACTATCGTAGCCACCCTCGGGACTTATTAATCAAAATTTGTACTGACGTCCTGCTGATGAAGTTTTCCTCGCTTCCTTTCTGTCAGTTAAAAATTTTTGAGCTTGATCGACGGTTTGAGGTTAATGTGTGTTGGATTCGGAAAGGATGGGACATGTTTGAATAATTGGCATGCCAAAAATAAAGTCAGCAGGGAACTAGAACTCAACTCAAGTTTGAAGAGTGATTGACAAAGGGGAAAAATAACTAAAGTAACAAATATTACAAAAAGGTGATATGAAAATGTACATATGAGAAATATAACTTTTAAAAACTCCTTAATACAGATTGGTCTTTATAAGTGGGTTTACCAACAAAAAAAAAATTGTTTTCAAGACGACATCTCAGAGAAAATGAGGACAAGACAGGACACGGAAGAACAGAGTTGTCAGGTCTACCAATTGTCGTTGACCTTTAAATTTGGGGTTAAAAACATAAAAAAAATTTTTTAAGACAGCACAGAAATGGTTTTTCATTAGGGTGGACCCACACAGGACATGACAGAACACAGAACAGGGTTGTCAGGCCTACCGAATGTCGTGGAATATAAGTGGGAGTACCAATAAAATTGTGGACAGACAAAATGAGGACAACACAGAAATGGGTTTCCCATTAGGGTGGACCCACACAGGACATGACAAAACACAAAACAGGGTTGTCAGGCCTACCGAAAGTCGTGGGCAACAGGGGCAGCCTGGTGCTCAGCTGGAGATCATCGTTAATCCCGATCCGAATGTCCGCATGACCCACCTGGACACCCGTGGGCAATCGTCGTCGCGGGTATTTCGGTCTCGGTTTCGTTTTGTGTGCTCGCGGGGTTTTTGTGACGGGAGCCACATAAAGAGCTACATGCGGATGCAAGTCATGCCGGGAATGGGGGTTTTTGGGGGATTATTAGTATAAGCATAAATCAAAAATCAAAAAATGCCATGCTGCTGGTTAAATTAAAAGCAAAAGGCTAAAACAGCTTTGGGTATATATAAACGATTACTTACGATCTTCGACGCACATCAGGCCATCGACCATCAGTTTCAGACCCGTGGGACAGGCGCAGGAGATGCGAGGACTCCGCTCGTTGATCCTGGGAGCTGGCAGGCAGAGATGTGAGCAGTGGCCATTCACCGACTGGCAGTGGTTGACACCGTCTGGCTGGCGGTAAGGATGGTACACATGCACCACCATAGGATGTTGGAGCTATAAAAAATAATTAAAAAATATTTAATATAATTTACGTAATTTAATACTGACAAATTTTAAGATTTAAGTGATTGTGGATTATAAAAATAAAAAATTTTTAAGAGTAAATTGATTCAAGATTAAAGTG